GAGAAGAAACGAGGAAATTACGAAAATTTGGATAAATATAATTTCTTTCGAATTGAGATTTTTTTGTTGTGTTGCCACGTTTATTTTCAATTTGAAATAACGAGGAATGAAAGAAAGAAAAGAAGAAACGAGGAAATTATGAAAATTTGGATAAATATAATTTCTTTCGAATTGAGATTTTTTTGTTGTGTTGCCGCGTTTATTTTCAATTTAAAATAACGAGGAATGAAAGAAAAAAGAGAAGAAACAAGGAAATTATGAAAATTACGTTAAATGTTGAAAAATCTTTGGACAAATATTAACAATATAATTTCTTTCGAATTGAGATTTTTTTATTGTGTTAAAAGTTTGTGTTGTCGCGTTTATTTTCAATTTAATATAACGAGGAATGAAAAAAAGAAGAGAAGAAAGGAGGAAATTATGAAAATTACGTTAAATATTGACAAATCTTTGGACGAATATCAGCAACATGATTTCTTTCGAATTAAAATTCTTTTTTAAACATTTGCAAATGTAATGATTACAAAGTTATAAAAATTTACATAAAATTAATAATAAATATACTGTATATTGAAGTTGCATAAAAGACAAAGGAGAACTGATTTAAATAACGTCGAATTTAAGGGAAGCTGATCGTATTTTCCCGGGTACTTTTTAGGTTAGAGGGATGAAAATACGAGATGGCGTCGCTTTCAACCAAACAGGTCGATACGACTTGCGCGCTCGCTCTCCTCATCGAACAACACTATCGAAATAGACTTGTGCTGATTCTGCAGTTAAAAAACATATCACGAAGAGGATTCGTCCATTTGAACTGAGCAACGACTAAATGAAGAAAAAATTCAAGCGTATAAAGAAATGCTTGAAAAGTTGATCCTAATACGTGCAATTCACGTTACTTTGTTTATCGTCATCTGTACCGGTGTTTTGATATTTCAATGAGCGAAATTAAATAAAAGGAAAAGAAATAATTGGAATTATAACAATCAAAATGGGGACTAGATTCGCAGCATGTAAGTATCTAAAAGAATATATATATATTCATGTAAATGTTACTCATAAATTCTTCTCTTTCAGTTTCGTTGAAGCTGACTAACCTTCACGACTATTATC